GGCCCCTACAGTGCTCTGGAACACTCAGGAGTATAGAAATCCTTCTCTAATCAATGCCATCAGTATGTTTTGCAACAATAAGTTTGCGAAGGTCTTGAAAAAGCTCTTTGCTTTTACCCATCATGAAATGCTTCTTGTGTGACACATTGGTCATGAGACATCTTTTTATAGGCCATCAGTTGGGACTAAACCAGCTAATATTAATTTCCACTGACAAGGGGCAGGAGTGCTTTCTAATTACTGATAGATTTCTGCTGGTGACTTGGCTTTCCATGTCTTTTTGCACCTCCCTTTCTTCATGTGTTCAATAACTTTTCCCTGTGTCATTTCACTTTATTACACAGAACTTAATTTCCGAATTTATTTGTATTGTTTTGTTTGTATGTATGGATTACTTGGGTTGTTGCCGACATCTGGTGAAAATTTCATGTCAACAGCACCTTTAGAAATATATTTACTGAGAAAAATGTTGACGTGTTCGATACTTGTTTTACCCGCTATATACTGTATATGTGACCCTGGACCACAAAACCAGTCATAAGGGTCAATTTTTCGAAATTGAGATTTATAGATAATCTGAAAGCTGAATAAATAAGCTCTCCATTGATGTTTGGTTTGTTAGGATAGGACAACATTTGGATATGACTATTTGAAAATCTGGAATCGGAGGGTGCAAAAAAAATCAAAATATCGAGAAAATCGCCTTTGAAGTTGTCCAAATGAAGTGCTTAGCAATGCATATTACTAATCAAAAATTAAGTTTTGATATATTTATGGTAGGAAATTTACTAAATATCTTCATGGAACATGATCTTTACTTAATATCCTAATGATTTTTGGCATAAAAGAAAAATCAATAATTTTGACCCATACAATGTATTTTTGGCTATTGCTACACATACACAGTGACTTAAGACTGGTTTTGTGGTCCAGGGTCACACACATATATATATATAAAATGTGTGTGTGTGTGTGTGTGTGTGTGTGAATGTGCAACACACATGTATATGCACATTAACAACTTCAAATGTTAAAAAAATTATTAGAATATGTATAATATACATGTATATGTATATTATATATGTATAATATATATATATGATTATTCACATTAACAACTTCAAATGTAAATTTTTTTTATAAAGTATATATAATAATTGTTGTAAAAATATGATATATTTAGATATAATTATGTACACAAACAACTTAAAGGCAAAACATTTATTAGTAAATCAAAATAGATTTAAAGAAGATTAATAATTGGTAAATATAAAATATTGTTCTTATTTCACGTAATGTATAGAACTTTGTTGTAACATGTTTCCATCTTCATTTAAGGTTTCTACTCACTAAAACTTTATAGTGGACCAGATGAATTAAACGTTGTGTTGAAAGACTCACATGGGATAAGTTTACTTTGGATAAAATAATGGGGATTGCCTTGCTAGATATGACAGGCTTCATGTCATCCTGACCATATTTTGCATTTGGATCCTCATTTGAGGTTTTCCGGCACTTTCGAGCATGAAACTGATCAGAATCTGTTTCTTAATCCTTATAGAACATCAGTGAACTTTTAAAGGGTAGAAACGGAGACCGATTACAGACCCGAGACCATCTCTTATTTGATTATGATTTATGAAATAATGGCTGGGTTCATAGACAGAGTAGATGAAGATCGGAATGCAGGAGATACAGGGGGTGTTTAGCAAAATGGAATGCAGAGTTTACCATTCCGGGTTCCTTAGTGCATTCCTGGACTCAGTGCTGCATTAAGTAAATGGCTCTTCCTGGTCATTGGAGTGTTATCTTCTACTGTCGGGAATGCCTCTTGAGACATTACTGTTTATTTGAATGTTATGTCTAATGTGTGTGTGTGTGTGTGTATGTGTGTGTTTTCTTTCATAAATTCGTACAGTGAAATGCCTGGCAGACAGACAGATACCTTTCAGTGCAATTTTGGGGAATGTTCTTCATAAATAGTCTTGACACATCACATCTGTGCATGGCGCTATCAGACAGGATTTCGACTGTGGAGGCCTCTGGTAATGCTTAATCTTGAAGATATACAGTTTTGATTGTTTCTTGATTCTGGGAAGCTCTCATAGTCTTACAAATCATTTACTAATAATGGATTAATCAAATAGACATTAAGAAAGCATAATTCAAAAGTGGGACAAATTATATTTTAATACAATGCTTAGCTGACAGCCTTTGAGGTGTAATGTTGGTTACCCCAAATATGTATTTAAATGTTTCCCTTATTTTCTTTAAAGCAAAATCTGGTTTACAGTGAGACACTTGCAATAGAAATAAATGGGGCCAGTTCATAACCATCAATAGTTTCAATAGTATAGCTAGAAGAAATAAACTTGCAAATTCTGTGTTAGCATGATTTTAGTATGAGAAAATCGCTTACTATTTCTGTGTAAAGTTATATGCAGTTTTACAACTTTGTCACCAATACAGTGCAGTGCCATAAACCCTAAAATGACTGTAAATAATTAAAAACAACTTGACTGCTAAAGTTTAAATAGAATTGTACAGCTCAAATAATGCTGTGTGCATTATTTGAGCTGTACAATTCTATTTAAACTTTAAGAGAAGCATTTGTGTAAGAGATTTTATAAAATCATAAGCATCACATTTTTGCTCCATTTACCTCCATTGGAAGTAAACCTTCAAAAAATAAAACAAAAAAAACACTGTAACCCTGATTTTTACATTTTTAAAGAAAAATAGTGACAAGCTAAAATTATTTGTTGTAATAATCAACATTATACCTCAAATGCTGTATGTTAAATATATGTCAAAAATTCTAATTTAAATGCACATTTCAATTTTACATGTTGTTTTGTTTTTAATGGTTTAAATGATTTAAGGTTTAAAGTAAGACCAGGACATGTGACAGGAGCCTGCTCATAAAACTGAATGGGCAGAGAGACAGATCAAAAGACAGTAAGGAGGAGTGTGTGTTTGAGGAGACAGAAGGACTGCAGCGCACACAGATGGGAAGATGGAGGGTGGATGAGAGTGTGCTTGAAGGGTGGCAGATGCCTTGACTGACCCCCAGTGTAGCCCTGCATTCATCCGCTGGACACGACACAAAGACAAAAGGCCGACCCAAACAGTACATACACTTGCCCATGCCTCGGGGTCAAAGGTCAGATTATCTTTCATCTAATTTTGTTGCTCTGTTCTCTTTGAAAATGTTTTGGGGTTTTATATGAATAGAGGCCAAAGCAATTAGTAGCTGTTGATTTTCAGAAAAACACATGACAGATGAAAAAAAAAAAAAAAAGGGGTGTTCTTCTAATGGGGCATCTGACTGAGAGTTTTTAACAATGAGCAATGTCCGACATCAACAATAAAAGATAAGGTAAGCATTTTCACCTCTCTTTTGTGTGTGGGCTTGTGTTACCTAACTATACACAACTATGAACAGTTATATTTCCCCCCTACTGTTTGGTGATCCTGTCAGAACAGACTTGGGACCCATTAGGTTTGCAAAATGCTGAACTGAGATACTCGTGTTGCTCCAAACCTACATAAAGTTCTTTTTATGTAGAACACACAAGAGACAATTCTGAATATTGTTATTTTGAATTGAAGTTTTTTTTATCAATAGAGGCTAAATAAATTAGCAGCTATCGATTTACTTGAAAACACATGACGGAGAAGGAGAGATGAAAAAAAGAGAGACAGAGAGATTTGAATCCAAATCAAAAATGTCCAACATCAAAAATAAAAGATTATACAATAACTATACATACACAATTATATTGTTCAGCCTTGCTGTCTTGTGATTCTATTAGGACAGACTTTGAGCCCGTTATTAGGTTTATGACCTGCTGAACTAAATGAATGTTGTTTAAAACCTGTATAATGTTCTTTTTTATGTGGAACACACAAATGGGAATTCTGAATAATGTTATTCCGAACAAGGAAATTCTGAATAAGCTTTTATATCAATGGAAGCTAAAGAAATTAGCGGCTGTCAATTTGTTGGAAAACACATGACAGAGAAGGAGAGATGAAAGAAAGATGGTGTTCCTAACAGAGATTTAAACCCAAATCAACAATGTCCAACATCAAAAATAAAAGATTATACAATAACTATACACAATTATATACTAATACAATTTAGTATACACAATTTTCCCGCCTTACTGTCTTGTGATTCTATTAAAACAGACTTTGGACCTGTTATTAGTTTTATGAACTAAATGATCCTTATGTTGTTCCAAACCTGCATAATGTTCTTTTTTATGTGGAACACACAAATGGGAATTCCGAATAATGTTATTCTGAATAAGGAAATTCTGAATAAGGTTTACATCGATAGTGGCCAAAGCAATTAGCAGCTGATGATTTGCCAGAAAACACATGACAGAGAAGGACAGATGATAAAAAAGGTGGAGTTCCTCTAATGGGGCATCTGTTGAGTTTCCCCTGACATGCTTTTGGGTAACACCTGGCTTTAGCTTACCTGCTAATCGCATTGTAACAAAGGCCGGAGGCCATTTTGAAAACTGAGTCGGATCTTTTATCTCGTTAATGGCAGCAAAACATTTCAAATCTAATTGTAGCATGTGGAGAATGTTCCGGATTGGTTGTTCTAGTTTAAGAAAGGGAGTATACGCAAATATTTGCAGGGTGTCCGCAATGATGAACGTCTCACACACTTGTTTGACAAGATAGTTTATTTTTCTGGAAACTATTTAGGCATTGTTACACTCGCGGCTCAATTGAGTGTTTAGAGACAATGGTCTGGTATTGGTTACTGTCGTTAAGTGTGTGTGTGTGTGTCTTGTCTCGGGGTTTGGTTAGAGTGTGTGCTAAGAGCAGGGCAAATTTGCACAGCCGATCAGACAATAGCAGAGTTTAGTGGCGGGGCAGGGACGCGACCTCTTTGCCACCCTCCATCTGGTTGCGCTGTTGGCTGTGTGCCTTGACTGCTACTTCTAAAACGTGACTTAAAGTTCGGGTGAGCCAGAGACCTACGAGCCTGCTTGATTTCATAAAAACAAGCTTACGCCGCCGTGAACAATGGAGCATTTGGAGTTGTACTGTAAAGTGATCCACTGAGAAAAACAAACACAGGGCATGAGCAGTGAGCTAGCAAGAACAGACCCTCCGCGAATGGGGCGGGCCAGGGATTGAACTTGTGTTCTTGATTGGTAAGTCGGCCTGATGGACACCTCCGGGCCCTGTAGATGGTGCCTGGGGTGTCTCAAAAGGTCACAGCCCCTGCTGGCTCGCACCATACATTAGTCATGAGGCTTTGCAGCTTACCTGTCTAGCGTTTCAGCTCAGCACAATGCAGTTAACCTCAATTGCGCTTGATTAGGAGGTGTGGAGAGCGGCCGGCTGGGAACGAATAGCCTTCCTAAAAAAAGATGAGATATCAATTATGCACCTCAAGGATGAAGTCCGGGTCTCATCGACTTTTGGGATGTCAGGCTGAACATTCTCTGAGCCTTACTAAAGAAAAGGGTTCAGTGTTGTCCCGAAACCAACCGCCCCCCCACTCGGTAATTACCCCATTACGTGTTAGTGGCGGATGGAACTGTTACAGATGTTTTATGGCGGGGAGCCCTTTTCATTTTCTCTCCCTGATGAGGGACAGATTTATGGTGTAACTCGACGATGCCATTCAAGAGTGCAATTCTGAAAGCACACACGCACCCTCCCCCCTCGCACACAAACACACACATAAACAACAAACAGATGAGTTGTTCCGGATGTGTTTCGTTTTTGTAGGCTCCCGTCTGGGAGACAGTCAGCCGGCGTGCATTCATAATGTGGTCTGACACTCTCGGCAGCGAGCGTACCACATGCACTTAATTTGGACTTGGAGAACGAACTGGGATTCCAGAAAGCAGTTTTTCATCAGAAATCTCTAGCTGTGTGTGTGTATGATCAGATACTTTTTGCTGCTTTTTCAGAATCATGAGATTTTCTCAATGGACGTGGCCTGTAAGGATGGGAAGATGGGAGGAGGTGGTTATCAGCTGAAGTGATTTCTTCTCTTGCCTATTTGAAGTTTAGCAGACGATGGAAAGGCCACATTTGTGACTGATAGGTTATCAAGTAGTATGCTGTTGTTGTCTTCAAAAGCAATGGATGATTCTGTGGCTCCTTGTGGCTCTCTTCATTGTGTTCATCAAAATATGTTCAGCAAAATATTTGATGAAGTTGTTGCTGAAAGACTCAAAAGCTTGGAATGATGACTTGCAATTACATTTTTCGAGCTCATTGCAATAGTGCATACCAGACTTCATAACTTGTACTCAACATAAAATGTAGTTGACAGTGTGATCAAATTATAAAAACAAAACATCCGCCAGGGTGAATTCCAGGTCACTTACCCTTAAAAAAAAAAGAAAAAAATATACATTTTGCTTCGAGAATAGGTTAGATTTAGGATACATTTTTTTTCCTCTTTTCTTTTCTTTTTTCTTTCTTTTTTTTCTTATGAAAATATTCTCATTACCATACTTTTCTTATTGGTGGTTAGTGCTATATTCTTATTTCTGATGCATTCTGCTGTAAAGCAGCTCTAAAACGACAATACTAAACAGTCATTATTGAGATAAAATCAGTTCATTGTTGAAAATAATAATAAACACAAATAAGAATTTTTATTAATAATTTATTGTCTCTAATTTCTTAAAATGAAAAATGTTTTCCTTATTTTAATTTTAGGAGGAAAAATACCTGCACTTGTTCTTTGATTCACCCATACATTACTGTTACTGTATGTATTAATGTTGTCTGGTAGCTAATATTAAATACTTGTAATTTCTAATATTAATATTGTATAATTATTTAATGAACTTAACTTTAAAATTAACTTTGCAAATCCTATAAACAGGTAAGTTTTTTCTTCTTCTTTTTTATGTATTTGTTTATTTATTTTTTGAGCAGGAGAGTTTCTCTTTGTGATTGATGAGGCATTTCTCTTCCAGCTAAGGGTGAGAGATGTCAGGTACAAGTCTTTAACCAACAAGGTCTGAGGAGGAACAGTTGACATTAATCATTTACCAGCGTGATACAATGGGGACCTGAGAGACTAGATAGCCTGGTGCAGCCAGGACTCTGTGAGCCAAACACATGCTCATCAACTCCTAGATAAAACACAGGATGACAACAGCACAAATCAATCAAAACAGATGCTGATTGGGTCACATGTTCTTAGAGTAATTTGCAACTAATAGTTTAATTCATTACTGCTTAGGATGAATGCCATACATTTTTTTGTTGTATTTTTCAGTAATTGATTTATCTGAAATTCATCGCTAAGATCCAAAATGCCATGCTTTGTCTTTTTTTCTGTCTCACATCACCTAAGAATGAGAGTGAGCGAGCGAGAGAGCGTCTCTCCAGCGTGATATTTCTGTTTGCAGAAGTCTGACCTTTTTCTGAACTGTTCGTAAGTGAAAGGCACTTTCAGCTGTGGAATCAGATGGCAGTAACCATATGCTGCTCAATTGATACAAAGGTGGAAAGGGAGGGAGGCTAGAGAGTCAGCATGCTGAGGTGAAAAGGAAAGTGTCGTGCCACTTCTCTTTGTGGCGGTAAGGGGTCTGTTGGTGCATGTGTGTGTGTTAGTGTTTGACTGGACGTGCTGAGAAACACACAGACGGTCTGCTTTGCCATTGAGATGGTGCTTTTACATGGACGAGTGCCGTGAGCAAACAGAATTCTTTCCTTTGTGGACCACTTTGTATGAGAATGTGTTTGCATGGGTCAAATGAGTGTTCAATAGTGCATGTAAGTGGGTGGGTCTGAGTTTGTCTGTAGATGATGGACGCTGAATCTCCTGGTTCGGCTGTAATAAACTCCTCTTGACCCTTGGGTTCAGTGAAGTTGGGAGACGAACTCTCCCTCTTCTTGATCCTGTTCCTCCCTGGGCTGCTGGCAGGAGGGCCACTGACCGCCCCGTTTGATTGGCTCAGAGAATAACAGAGATAGAGAACTAAGGCCAGCTGTGAGTGGTCAAATGCCACTAACACACTGCTCTCAACTGGCTATAATTCATCACCTAGATTTTACAAAATGTCAGCAAAAATGTCCTTAAAGTCAACATTAATTTTTGTTTACAATCCATTTTACTGTCATTCGATGTTCTTCTGAGTTAAACTGGATATTCATTGAGAATAAATGGAGGGAAAGACTTGATTTTATCCATTGGGAATTGATTGGATGATAACATTAGACGTTACATTCCAGAATATAGCCGGGGAAGTTTGTTAAACAGTAAACACTAGGCGTATTTGGCTATTATTACCATTATTCAAAAGCCCATGTGACCTAAGTGACAGAAAAGGAAGAGTGGGTTATTATGTTTTGATTAAAGATTATGGACATAAACATTTTTTTCACTAAGACCATAAAAGTGCATTAAGAAAGTAAAAAGGACACTTTCGATTTCATGTTGACTTTAAAATCAAGCATTGAAATGTATTTAAAGGGTCATATGATGTTGCTAAAAAGAACATTATTTTGTGTATTTGGTGTAATGAAATGTGTTTATGGTTCAAAAAACATTATTTTCCACATACTGTACATTATTGGCTCTCCTCTATGCCCCGCCTTTCTGAAATGCGTCGATTTTTACAAAGCTCATCGGTCTGAAAAGTGAGGTGTGCTGTGATTGGTCAGCTATCCAGTGCGTTATGATTGGCCGAATACCTCAAGTGTGTGACGGAAATGTTACGCCCCTACTGCCCCTATGTCACCATACTGTTGATGCCCTGTCCGGCCGGAGCGACGAGACAAAAACATTAAAACCCATTATAAACAGGGCATTTTTTGCATCCAGTGGGGACATAATTATGGATTATAATGACTTATACTGTCTTTTTACGCGTTGCGTTGCATCGCGCCGCGCCGCATCGCGCCGCGCCGCACCGCGCCGCGTAAACATAAAACCATGTCTGCATTTGTGATCGGAGAAATGACGAACAACAAACGCTTCGTCCACGGTGAAAGGCCAAACAAAGTAGTTTCGCTTTCACAACGAAACACACAGCATCTTGATATGTGGCAGCAACAATACTACAGGGAGAAAAAAAATTATGCCTTCTTTCTTTGCGTGAACATTTGGGCGGCGTTATGCAAATCTTCCCACATCGTGACGTAGACATGTGGGGGTGTGTTAGAACAAGCCTGTAACACAGTTCGTAGTCACGGGAAGAAGGAAGCAGGAACCGGCGAATATTTAAACAAAACTTTAATAATAAAATAAATACAAAACTGCGCGACAGCCCCTAGCGGACGACTGTCGCGCAACAAACAGAACCAGAACACAAAATAAAATCCAGGGCTGGTCCTCTCTCATCCAACACTGTCGTCACTCCTCCTTTTATCCTTCCGGAGCTCCTCCGTGGGACTCGAGACCGGTGAGTGGCGCAGGTGTCACGCATTAGCATTTACTCCACTGTCGTCACAAAAATAATCATAGGCCAAATGATTGGTTGAAAAAATTTTTTTTTCAGAACCACCAAAGACCCAGGGCCATAGCTTACTTGTATAACCCTTTAGCGACATGATTTTCTGTGCAGAAACACTTGTGTTTGAGAAACAACTTCAACTACATTCAATATGGGGTCAGTGTGAATTTTTACATTTTATTATTTTTTAAAGAAATTAATACTTTTATTCAGCCGTGAGAAGTGAGAGTAAAGGCATTTATGTTACAAAATATTTATATTTTAAATAAATGCTGTTCGTTTGGACTTTCTGTTCATCAAAGAATCCTGAGCAAAAATGTATCACGGCTTCCACAAAAACATTACGTTTTTTTAACACTGATAATAATAAGAAATGACTGCTGAAAATTCAGCTTTGCCATCTTAGGAATGCATTATATTTTGAAATATATTACAACAGAAAACAGTACTTTTAAATTTTAATAATATTTCACATAATTACTGTTTTTACTGTGTTTTTGATAAAATGAATGCAGTCTTGATGAGCATAAGAGATGTCTTTCAAAAGCATAAAAAAACTCCATGGTAGTGTATGTTTTCTGGCACTGCTTTGGGTCATTCTCTGATTGTTTATGAGAGAACAAGACTTTTATTTGAAATCATTCTATCGTACTTTACTGCATTATGATTTCAATTATGCTTAAATTTGTAATTGCAAATGTGACCCTGAGAGTGTGCCCCCTTCATAAGGATCTCTTCGAGATTCAATACACACACACACACACACACACACACACGCTATCATAATCGGCAATATGGGGAGGGAAAGGAGGGGGATGAGAGGAAGAGGAAGGATGTTAGTTACAGGAGCAACATTAATTCATTCCTCCAGCTCTTCTTTGAAGAGCACAGGCAGCTATGACAGGCTAACCGCTTCCAGAGATGTCACATTTCCAGCCAATCTTAAAGAGCTCGAGCCTGCACTCTTCCTTTCATGTTTGATTCTGTTTTCAAGATTCTATGATAAACAGACGAGGACGGGCTGGGGGCAGGAGAAAGAGAGAGACAGAGAGAGACAGAGAGAGACAGAGAGACAGAGAGACAGAGGGCGACAGGGACGAGGGCAAGTCTATGCTGTCAGGGGAACCAGATGCCTTTGCAAATTGGCTCTTTGTCGGTTTCATAAGGGTTTGGAAACGCAAGTCCAAATTAAGACCTGGAATTTGCCTTCAGCCTTCTAGGATTGCAGGGATAGTGCACTGAATCCAATTAATTTATGTTTTCAGGTCACCAGATCATGCCTTCAAATGTACAGTGGTCAGGTTAAACTATTC